AAGACTTTTGGGGCTTAGGGTTTAGGGTTTAGGGTGCATGGTAAAGCTCTGCTTTTCAGATCTGGTTTGGGTCTTTTGCTTCAGGATTTTGGCGGGGAGGTGGTTTTCTGTGTGAGATGGAATGGCATGGCATGTTTATGATTTCGGATTGCAGCCGTGGGATGGGCCGGAACCTGGGTTACTTCTACTGTTCCTGCGGATGTTGCACGAATTTTGGGGGTCGATCTGACTAGCGGTGGTCGCAAATCTTGTTTACTGACGTTGAGCCCTAAAAAACCCAAAGACCCCGACCTTCACACCGGAATCCTAAACCCCGAACCTAGACCTCTGTGCCTGTAGGTGGGACTACAGCTTGAAGGGGAGGGAGAGGACCTTGCCTCTGGTGGCGCTCCCAACCAGCCCCTAGCATGTTGTAGGCTTCCGTGCTCGGAGTTTAAAGCTTGAAGGTTGTAGAGGTGTGAATGGCTGGTTTTTGTTACAGAGTATCCCCTTCTAGTGCCTATACAACTGTACTATATGGGTAGTTCTCTAAACTTGGGTCCCCTTTTGGGTCCCCAATGTAGTACGGCAACCTTATAAAAAGAGCCCCAAAGGGACCCTAATTTTAGAAAACTACTCAGAAACTCCTAAACTAAACCCTAAACCCTGAACTCACTAAACTGTAAACAAAATAGAGAACTACCCACCTGCACCAGAATACTCCTCCACTTGCTTTGGTAAGGCTTCTGGTTGTCGGGGATTGCAATTATTCGGTTTCCAACTTCGCAGGGAGAGGCGCCGGGTCGGTTGTGATATGGGCTTCTCGCTTTTCGAGTTTTCGGGTTTAGGGGTCAGGGTTTAGGGTTCAGGGGTTAGGGTTTGTGGGTTAGGGTTTTAGGGTTCAGGGGTCAGCGGTTAGGGTTTAGGGGTTAGGGTTTTAGGGTTTAGGGTTCAGGGGCTAGGGTTTAGGGGGCTCTTTGGCGATAAGGTAACAACATATTTCTAAGTCTCTGCTCTCAAACCACGAAAACACAGCAGGAAATTCCTCATCAGCCACATAGATGGCCTGAGAGCTCCGGCCATGTCGAGGAATCTCTTCGGTGATTTCGCCTCCTGCGACGAGTTTCGAACACCTGTCAGACTTCACCTGTAGATTATTGGATAATTTCCCGAAGCACTTAAATCTCCATGCCCACACTATCACTACCACCAACCGCAAACCTGAATCCTCTCCAGTCCCGAAAGGCACTGCACAGCTGCCCCTGTCGGCTTCTCCGTTATCCTTAAAAGGTTTAGGGTTTAGGAGTGCTTCTTCATTTTCTCAGCCACCAGAAGGCTTTAGGGTTTAGGCGTGCTTTCAGACAACCCATGAGTAGGGTGCATTTGTGCGGATAGGTTTTTGTTCAGCTTCGATCCGGTTGCAGGCTGTGAGATTGATTTTCCGGTTGATAAGGGGTCTGTGTTGAGTCCGGGGTGCGTGATTTCAAAACCCTGAGATCGTAAACTCTACCAACCTGATGGTCTAGGGAGAAGGGCACAGAGCTTACTATGTAGGGCTTAGGCTTTACGGTTTTGGGTGTAGGGTTTACGGTGGCATAGTTAGCTGGATAGTACTCTTTTCGACTGCCTATGATAGTTTTTCATAGAAACATCCCAACGTCAGGAACTCCTATACTTGCCACTGCCATTTTCGGTGCGAAGTGCAGGACGGACGTGGATCTCTTAGACGACTACTTCGTGCGAATGCAAGAGTTGGTAGAGAAGTCCGAGTCGGTCAGGCGGTTCGTGATGCTGGGACGGTTTAGGTTTTAGGGTTTGGGGTTTAGGGTTTAGGGTTTTAGGGTAAGGGCTTTTAGGCGTTGGGGAATCAAAGTTTCGAGCGTTTGCCCCTCTGTGATGTAGGGCAGTTCGGATTTTCGGATTCAGATCCTTCGGGTGATATGATTGCAGTTTTTTTTTGAGGAGGGTGGGTGGGTGGGTTTTTTTAAAAGCTTTCTCCTGAGGTTGAAGAACTTGAGATTCACGGTGTTGGTGCTTTAGGATTTCGGATTTAGGTTTGGGGTGATGATTACGTATAAGTATAAGATATCAACCCTACTTGCTGTGGCTCTGGTTTCGGTTTGGCAACGGTAGGGTGCCAGTAAGTTCTTGCAACATCTTGTTCCGATTGTCTCTTTAGAAACACCAAGCCGAAGTATGCTTAGCCAGATCATGTCTGCTTTTCTTCGCAACCCTGAGCCCTAAACACTAAACCCTAAGCCCCTAAACCCCCTCCCTGTTCTGCGATCTGTTTAGTTTGCCTGCAGCAACCTCCGATATCTGTCCCAAGGATCCCGGCGATCCTCATCTCTTCGTCCCGCCCCCATATACCCAATAGTCCATACTACAATCTCAAGCATTTACAAGTTTGTTCTCTGGGGCACAGTATGTATGTATGTATATACATATATATATATATGTACATATATATATATAGAGAGAGAGAGAGTCTATATTTTGTGTAAGACTAGAGTTTACTACGGAACCCCAAGGAGCAGGAGTATTAGTCGAATTATTCATGGCCGTATATCTTCGGGGCTTAGGTAGGCGATAGAGCCCTGACAGGTTGAACAAGATGTTGCAACTTGGCAGAACTAGATACAGGTTGGGGTTTAGATGTTTCAGGGGTAAGGGGTGTCGGGATTGCCGTTCAAGGTTTGGGGTGCAGAGGTTCTTGGATTTCATGCTAGCTGCTAGGATCAACTGGACTTGTGCTGTTGAGGCTTTCTTATGGCCGTCACGCCGAACACTGAACTCGAAGATGAAGCTCCTAGTGTCCCTACGAAAAGTAGGTTTTGGTACTTCAATGGTACTTGCAGACAAAAGGCACGATTAAGGTTGAAGTAAGGAGGCAGATTACGAAATACCAGATCGGTGCCGGACCATATTGGAGAAGAGCCCCTTCATGTCCTTGTACATCTTCTGCAGTGCAGGGGGTTTGGCTGTAACTGCTCGCTCAGGTATCTGATCTGGAAGATGCCACACTACGTGACGTCCTACCATCAGGACACACATGTCCCGCCGCACTTTACCGTCTACAATCAGGCACCGAGTCTGCAAATTGGCTGAGACTGAACCCCTATGTAAACTCTTGAGTCCTTAAAACCCAGCTTAAACCCCGCTGAAGCCCTGAAAAATCTTGTTCTAAAGGAAGAGAAGCCACGATGAGAGTCAGGCTCTCTTATTCTCGGACACCGGCTTCGCTCGTGCTTTGCTTGTGGAATGGCTCCCTTTTGCGGGGATGTTCGGCTTCGGGGAGGGGCGGGCCGAAACTTGTCGTTGGATGGGTGTTGTGGAGCTTTTGGGTCGAAGATCTACCTACTTTGAAGTTCAGAAGAGCGTTGCTTTTTGTTGTTGGAGTTCTCCCGCCAGCACCGCATATCCGTATGTCCGTATATCTTCTGGACGAGAACCCCTTCAAGCACTGAAGAAAACAAGGATGTCAATCTGCTCCAACGTCCCCCAAGCGCTTTGGACCTTAAACCCTGAACATCTCAAGCGCTATCCTCCCGAGCCAGCAACTTGAACCTGCACTCGGGGCCTCCGGAGCCATCGATAAGTCCCATACCGTTAGGGCCGTTCGGGGTCTAAGTCTGTTAAGACGAGGGACATACATTCCCAAAGGCTCCATGTACCCATATAGTATATACTTAGACCCTACAGTACCTATATAGGAACCCCTTTAAGGCCTAAGTATATACTATATGGGTACATGGAGCCTTTGGGATTAAGAGCCGTAGAAAAGAAAAGACTGAGAGGTTTCCGGCGCAAGCGTTTTCCACTTCCTGCCACCCCTGGTTGGCTGCTACGTCACGCATGTCGGGCGGAGGGACATTTCTGCGCTGAAGGAGGCCTTTCTTTCAATCTTCCTGGCGGCTTGTTTTGGCTGACGGGGTCTTTTAAAGAGTCCAGGCTTCTGGTGTTTCGAGTTCTCCCCAGTGACCTTCTATCGAAGCCAAATTTGTTCAAGCCAGTTTGAGGCCGGCTTCGAGAAGGCTTCAAGCAGGATTCCCCAATAATGGGCGTAGCCGTAGCCACGAAGGGGTTTAGCTAGGGCTGGCTGCCACGCATCTGTTGCTTTGCTTCTTGTTTCCTCGGCCCTGACAAAAATCAAGCGAACTCCTTATCCCTATTATCGAACCCCCTAAACCCTGAAGCCCTATAAGCCCTAAATCCTAAAACTACTTGGAATGCAGTAGAGAAGGGAACTCCTTATTATCGAATCCCCTAAACCCTAAACCCCAAACCCCTAGACCCTAAAGCCCTTAACCCTAAAACCGCTTGGAATGCAGTGGAGAAGGGAACTCCTCATTATCTAACCCCCTAAACCCTAAAGCCCTCAACCCTAAAACCGCTTGGAATGCAGTAGAGGGCCGTCGGGAGGTGTTGGAGAGGCTGGATGCAATGCAGCTGGGCTCACTGGCAGTCCTCGGTCCGGGTCAGGCCTGGGCACCGGGCAACATGCGCTTGGGGTTTAGGGTTTAGGGTTTCGGGTTTGGGATTTAGGGTTCAGGGTTTAGGAGTTTAGGGTTTAGGGTTTAGGGTAAGTAACAGCCTTAACACCGGAAGACCAAGCCCTTCAAGGACCAAGGAACCCTAAAGAGGTGCGTAGTTTAAGCTTTTGTTTTTTTTGCATTTGGTCGTAATTAGGCTTCTACGGAGACTTTGGAATCTGGTTGTTGTGGATCTTCGCTTGTCCCGGTAAGTTCGTCTGCAGTCGGGTTTGCCTAAGACATGACAGTCAGTTTAAGTTTGAAGCATGACTCCCGAACGCCCGTTTCTACGCTGAGTCTTACACCCCCAAAGAATCAAGCCCATCCTTTGCAAAGGGCTTGATGATTTGTGTAAGCATTGCATGCCCCCTAAACTCTGAGGCCCAAAACCTAAACCCGTAAACCCCTAAATCCTTCCCTCAAATCCCGATATCCTTAAAATCCCCAAAACCCGTAACCCCTAAACCCTAGAAGCCTTAAACCCAGAACCCAGCAGGTCTTGACGTCCTACACTACGGTTTTCCCAAAGCCGAATTACAGACGGTTGAACAATCAAACTACGAACTTTAAGATCCTCCCCGAGATGTGTTTTTTCGAGTTCGGGGTTTAGGGTTTGAGGTTTAGGGTTGAGGGCTTGGGGTTTTAGGCTCTTAGGAAACTCCGGTGCAGGTGAGGGTTCTGTTGCTTTCGCATCCTTCTCGGTCCTCTTCCCCTCTTGAACACAGCGCTCCGTCACTCAAGCTGGGCCTGTGGGTCAGATGCATTTAGGTTTATATAGGGCTTAGGGTTTAGGGAGCGAGGCCCCGAGACTGGGTTCTTGTTAAGTTAAGGGATTCAGTTTAAGTTACCATAATAGGAACCTGTAGTAAATAATCTGGTTTCCTTCCTATGATAACTTAAATTAAATCCCTGAACAAGAAGCCCGTAACCCTAACTAGTACCCTAAACCCCTATTCCGGCAACTGAACTTAGCAGTTGAATGAGTCCACTTTATGCTCTTTGGAACAATCTGATCCCTGTATAGACCTGAAAGAGTACATCTTTTTGAGCTTATGAACCTAAACCCTGAACCCTAAACACTAAAGCCTAAAGCTAAACCACCCTAAACCCTAAACCTAAGCCCTGAACTCTAAACCCCTCTTGGGGGGGTAAGTTAGGGCCTGAACGAGAGCCGCCTTGCGAGAGGTTGCTTTGATCAGCCCCTTCGGTTCCCACGGCGTGTGGGTGCCTTCCCAGGCGCTGCTCAGCCTCCCCGGAGTGTAGGGCTTATACGGTTTAGGGTTTGGGGCCTATAGGGCCTTTTGGGGTTTATCGGGCTTATGGGGTTCATAGGGGTTTATGGCTTAAGGCCTATAGGGGCTTTTGGGGTTTCTAGGGCTTACAGGGTTTATAGGGGTTTGTGGTTTAGGGCCTATAGGGCTTACAGGGTTTATAGGGTTTAGGACTTTTGGGGTTTAGGGCGGTTTAGGACTTACAGGGTTTAGGGCTTATGGGGTTTAGGGTTATAAGTTCTGTTGCGCATCTCTTTACGGCTTAGGACTTACGGCGGGCTTCGGGTGGAGGTATTGGGGGCTGTAGCTTTGGGAGCCGAGGGACTCACTCGGCCATGGATTGCGGCTTCGGAAGGTTTAGGGGTTTAGGGCTTAGGGCTTAGGGTTTAGGGTTTAGGGGTTTAGGGGTTTAGTGGTTTAGGGGTTTAGGTGCAAGGATTGTGCAAAGGTTGGGGAGGTGCGGGCTGGGTTTGGTTTTAGATCCGCGCAGATTGGGTTGATGTTTCAGGGGTTTGGGCTTTGGGATTCCGGGCTCAAAGGCTGGGCAGTGGAGAGACCTTAAGCTACCATAACCTTAGTAGCTGAATGAATACACTTTAATTCAGCTTTTTGGGGTAACATGACCCCTTATAGAACCGGTGGATGTCCATTTTGTTGTGCTTGTGAACTCAGCCAAGCAGCCAGAAACTACCCCCCGGAGTCGATGATATAAATCCTGCATGACCTTAAGGACCCTGAACTATGGGAATTCTGGTATATTCCTGATTATGGGCGAATGCAGGATATATATCATCACCCTAAACCCTATACCCTAAAGCATAGTCTTTCGGATTTGGGGTTTAGGGTGTGGGATTCACAACCCTAGGAGTGGAAGATGCCAGGTGCGTCCCGAGCCTTGGGGGTTATGTGAGACAGGACGAGACGTGAGCTGCGTCGTTTGAGCTCCATGGGTTTAAGGTTTTAGGGCTTGGGGCTATTAGGGTTTATAGGGTTTTAGGGTTTGGGGTTTAGGGTTCAAGGCTTAAGGTTTAGGGTTTAGGGTTGTTAGGGCTTAAACTTATTAGGGTTTACAGGGGTTTGAGCTAGAGAGCGGCAGCCATCCAGGAACAGATTCTGTTTAACAAGGCGGTCAACTGCGTGCGATGTTTAGGTAACATGGCAGTTGTGCCACATCTGATTTGCTCTTCTGGTCCCTCAACCTTTAAACCCTATATACCCTAAACCCTAACTCTGGTACTAAGTGCAGTTAGAAACGAGCCCCGGAACGAAGAAACCTACCTCTGAGCTACGCAGGCCTACAACGAGAAGCTGCCAGGCTTCTCTGTCTCAGCCATCCGGGCCGTCGAGCTCTTCATGCGGGAGCAGCTGAGGGTAGCGCCACTTGAGTCAACAGCCCCCCTAAACCCTAAAACAGATTCGGCGAACAAGCTTTCCCAGCCCTCATTACAAACTCAGTAGACCTCCCTGAAAGACCTTGAATTATGTAGCCCCAAACAGCCCAACACCCCACCGGCCTTGAACTCCTCCCCGAACACAACCCCTGACTGTGATGCCTCAAAACTTTACTTAGTAGCTGAATGAGTGCACCTTAAACTTACCCTTTTTGAGATAGGATGATCCCTTATAGAACTGAAAGTGTACACTTTCTTGGGCTTCTGAACTCAGCAACGAAGGTTAGATTTGTATGAAGCACGACCCTGATCCGCCAACACTGCCCGCACCTGCAACTGCAAAGCTCCCAAACCAAAAAAGGCACGCGACCAAGCGTTCATCATCGTCCCAACGTAGTTAGGGTTTAGGGTTCAGTTATACTTTACAATTCCTCCAATCCTTGTGCTGGTATCTGATCTCAAGACTCTACATTAAGTTTCTAGACACCTTCGCTATCCCTAAACCCTCAACTCTTCTCCGGCCCCCGTGCTCAGTGTCGAGGCCTCTCCAGCCGACTTAGTTAAGCCCTCACATGAACCATACTCCACCTACAAAGGACCCGAAGCCCCAAACTCTAAACCCTAAGCTCTGAACCGCCCACAAAAAACCCTAAGCCCCAAAGCTTAAACCCTAAACTCTAAACCGCCCTTTCCAAAACCCTAAAGCGAACCCTCGAGGAACTGGGAATTGAAGCTCCCCACCTGGAACCAAGTCTGGCCAGTCGGGGCCCCGAGCGCTCTCAGAAATGTCCCTAATAGTTTAGAGTTTAGGGTTTAGGGGTTTAGGGTTGTGCAAGGGTTTAGGGTGTTAGGGTTTAGGGTTCAGGGTTTGGGGTTAAGGGTTAAGGGTTTATAGGGTCCTAAATAGTCTCTCCATTGTAGTTCCTTTTGCTTAACCAGTTTTATGGTTGGGATCCTATAAACGTTTACAGACTTGGTGGGCCAGTTAAAAGGAACTGCAATACCCTAAGCCTCTTTTTTGTTGAAGGCCGGGGAGTGGTTAGGGTTGAGTTTTTGGGCAGTCGATGTTTGTTTGTATTTCGAGTGTGTCTGCTGAGAGGGACCTCGGGTGCTTCGAGATGTAAGGACGGAGGGCTCTGGGGTTTGTGACGGTTTAGGGGTCTCAGGTATTGCAAGGTGGCTGTACTCGAAGGATCGTGGGGCTTCTCGCCAGCTATAACCATTATAACCCCAAGTAAGGCTACTTATAAGCCTACTTTCTAAGCCTCACGCTCCTCCAAATGAGTCTGCCCACGGAGAGAGATCGAGTTGAAGTCGGTGTCAAAAACCTTCCAAGCCCGGATCATTCGGTCCTCCTGTGGGGACTGTCTTTTGCTGGATTTCGGAGTGCCGGATCAACTGTTGGACTGCTGTATATCGGCGCCAGTGGTTCAAGACGTACAGGGGGCCATCAGTTGCCGGCGGCCGTTTGTGTTTCCACTCCACTCCTTGCTTGACATGTAAAACAGGGGGCACTGGATGAGTGCAAAAAGTAGTTTTCGCGGTTCCTGTTTTTGGGCATAATCTAGCAGCAAAAACTCATTCTAGTTGTCAAGACCCCTAAGTTTGCAAACCTTTTGAAGGAGCCTATAAGTGTGCTCTAAATTTGCCCTACGTAGCCTAATAATGAAGGCAAGCATCCTTAGTCCTCCGATTCTGCTGAAATTCAGCCTGTTGGTGGTCTCGTGATCATATCAAAGGCCCTTGACGATTGGAATGAAAATCAGGCTCCTCTCAAGGTTTCCTCAAAGGGTTTCTACATGGGTTACTCCTCAGGTTTCTATGGTATAGGGGCCTCAAAACTTAGTAAGTTAGTGCTTGTGAGCTTCCCACTGAGGAGAACGAGGAGGACCCATGCCATTCCTCCGAGAACTTTGTTCCAAGTTTTTGAGAAAGGGCGGCGGGGATGTTTTGCATTTTGGCGTTCAGGGCTTCAGAAGTTCAGGGAGAGTAGAGTAGTGACTTGACAGCTACCCTAAACCCTAAACCATAATGAACCCTAAACCGGCCTCGCTTTCAAGCGTCCGCTCCCGACCGGGGCCTGTCAAGGGCGTTTCTGGCTGTGTTTTGGTAGTGTTTCATAAGGGTCCTCCTGTCAAGGGTTCAAACGGGTTCTTTTGGAATGTTATGCGGGCTCTGTGTGGTTAGATATATGGTTGTATATTGGTGCCTCATGCCGCATCACGAATTGCAGGAGGCATGCGCATCTACCTTTCACTGCCCAAGCATGCTGCAATGCACTTAGTTGGGATTCCAACAACGTTTGTAGACAATCCTGGTCAGTTCGAAAGTGACTTTAGAGCGCGGGTGGCACCCGGAGGAATGAGTAGCCTTGGTACCTCGACAGCAAACGATACAACCTCATGGGTGTAGCCAGCAAACTTTGGTGAGGACGAAGCTGATATGGCCGTTCCTTGGCATTTTGATGCTTGCGGCGTTTGGCGAGCTTGAGTTGGTTATCAACTTCACCCTTAAGCAGTAGGACTCCAAATATAAATGACGCCAGAGAAATCCCCGAAGCAAGGACCCAAGGGCACATTTATCAGTATAGGATATAGTCATATCTGGGCCTCCGCACATGTTGCTTATGTGTTTTTTTTTTTGGTTTGGGGGGTTGTGAAGCCTGTTTTATCCGCCAAGCGCATGCTCTGTATGGCAATCTTGAGCTAACACAAAATACTGTTGATGATATAAATCCTGCAGCATACCCTAAGGACCCTAAACTATGAATTCCTTCTTATGTGTAGTGCAGGATTTATATCATCAACCACTCTAAACCCTAAACCCT